ATCAGTGATCCTAACTAACCTTTTAGACTTTTCAGTGGTAACAGCCAGCTGCAGCACATGTGCCATAAGTTTGCCACCCTTGCTATTTCTGAATGGCCTAGGGACATTTAGCAAGCATAAGGTATAAATTTTTTTTAAGTTTATTGGGAATAAAGGTGAAAAGGTATGAAGAAAGTTAAAGAAATCAAAGGAAATGTGTATTTTACTAAGCCTTTCTCAGAACTCTTATCAGTTACCTGCACCTTCTATAACTTGGCTTTTCACTTTATTAACACAGACTAAAAATCCAACTTAAGGCTCAAACAACGTGATTTTCTGTCCTAGTATCTAGAGGAATTTAAAACTACAACACATTGTTATTATTATCAGTGACTAAGATCTAGGTGGCACCTTTTTTTGTTTTGTACTGGGGATTGAACTCAGACCCTTGCGCTTGCCAGGCAAGCGCTTATTCTACTGAGCCATCTCCCTGGCCCCTCGGTGGCACTTTGATACACTAAAATTTTCAATATTCATTTTCACATCCGGCAATGTGAAGATGAGACCTTTTACATCAAATTAGGTATAATAAAAACTAGTACATACCATTACTCTAGAAAATACTAAAGGTGAACAATCACATTCCAGTATCTTAACTATTGTTCTGTAAAAAGAGGTTGTTTACATATAAAACCAAGAAGGCACAACCAAGGTATCTGGCTGCTATTTTCAACATGGGCTGCACTGCAACAGTCCCCTTTCCCACAACTGCCTGTCTTCCACAGATGCTAGGAAAGCTCTCACTGAACATGCTGGCAGCAGAACTAGCAGTCCTATGTGCAGGTTTCCCATCTGTACCTTCCAAATTCAGAAAAGGTTCCACCAGAAGGAAAACATGCACACACACACAACAGACATACCCTCCTAGCTGCAAGGGAGGAGCCAAAGGCACTCTGGGAGGGCAGCATGCAAAACTAAGTGCAGCCAACTACATGTCCTCAAAATCACAGCTACCCAGAACCCTTCTCCATCCAGCAGAGGCTTTCACACATCCTAACAAAGAAGAAACGTCACACTGAAGACATGCACTGAGCACTTTTGCAGTTCAGTCTGAGGTCACACATGAGAATGACTGTACCTTCCAGACTCAAGTTTTTTTAAAAAATATATAACATATATTCTTTTCTGATTATTCAGTGTTCTTAAAATGCATTATGATGGGGGCCGGGGAGAGCGCTCAGTAGAATAAGCAGACCTGAGTTCAAGCCCCAGTTCCGCTTTAAAAAAAAAAAAAATGCATTATGATTCGGACAGTAAGCAAAAGAACAAGAAGAAAACAACTCACTTGTGAAGTGTTATACAGAATCTTCATCCCATTGGCATTGATAAATGCTTTTCTTCCCAACTTGATGTTCGTAACACTTTTTAAGCTCTGCAAAATTCCTTTCCGAATAAGCATGTTTCTATGTCGATTATCATGGCGGTGCCAATCTACATAAATTGTTAAAAGCACTTGGACAAATCCTCTGTCTACAGCTCTCCTGGCATTTGTTTCTTCAACAAAAGAAAATTGGGAAAGAATATACTTTAAATGATAAAAGAGAAAGGGATAGGATAAATTTAAAAACATAACTGCAGTGTTGTGATAAATTTTCACAACTCTTCCTGTTTTTTTCTTTTTTAGGCAGGACCTCGCTATACACGGCCTTGGGTCTTGCTGCATAGCTTAGGGTCACCTGAAATTTGCAATTCTCCTGCTTCAGCCTTCCAAGTGCTAAGACTCTCAGTATGTGCCCCAGCACATGTGGCTCAAGTCTTATCATTCTTATAACCCCCCAAAAGGACAACTACCTATTTAAATGTTTTTCTAACAAAGTAAATGACAAATTCTAGAACATTTTCTGCCCATATAAATATGTATGGGGGGCCTGCGAATTAGCTCAGTTGTTTAAAGCGCCTGTTTGGACAAAGTCAGGCACAAGGGACCGCATTTTGATCCCCAGCTCCACAAGCTGCACCAAACCTGCCATTAAGGCAGCCTGAGCTACCAAAAAAAAAAAAAAAAATCCTTCTCCATATACTTATAAATGTTTACAGTTTTATCATTTATAAAAATCAAAATATCATTTGTAAAGTTAGGTTATATATTTAAATATTATATTAAAAGGTTCATGTACTTTAAAAGTTATGAATATATTGACATTGTATCAAAAGAATTTACAAACTTGAAATTAATCCCATTGAGCTATAGTTCCCATAACAAACTTTGTTTCAATAGAAATTAATTGCTCAAATAATCTCACAATTATATAAAGTCTATGCCACACCAATGCTAATTTTAAAATAAACAATTTTTAACAAATTAAATGTAAAGGAAAAATGACATTAGAAAATAGTTCTTCCTGGGCATTAAATTTTTATCATAATGAAAAGTATATCAAAGGTTTCATATAAAAGGTCAATTTTATTGGAGTACAAATATAACCTAATTTTATTGTTCGCAAAATATCAATATTTAAAATTATTAAGCAAAAACTAGTATGTTTTTACTAAGATAGCAGCAAGGAAATCATATGACAGCAATACACCAAGCCACCTAGTGCTACTTTGGTGAGTCCATTTTAAGTACTAACAAGTTTATGGGTTAGAAGAGTACCAACTCATCTGAGGCTGTGTACTTAGAAAGAAATATTAAATCCCTTCTTAATTTCAACTACATCTATAAAATGACACCTGGTTCATGGCATGGGTACTAAGCTAACAATGACTTCATATGCCTGAGACAATTATTATAGTTTCTAAATTCACTTATGCATAAAACATAACACAACTAGATTTACTAATCTCCTGCCCTAACTACATTCTGACATTAAACAAGTAGAAGCAACTCACAAGAGAAAGTGTTCTTATATGAAAGCTTTCAAACCTCTATTGTATCTAAAATCACTGCTTGCTATTATAAGGCTATGAACTATTAGTAAAATTAGTGCAATCATTTTTAGCAACAAAAGTTTGACATAAACAAAGCTGTTTACACCACTTAAAAAATGTAAGGCTTCACTTTACTAGCTGAGAATGTAATTTTGTTAAAAACCACCTGATCATTGCTCCATTAAAAATTTTGTATTTCTGCCAGAATTCCCAACAGTCTAAATGGGATTTATGGGAAATATTAAAGTTAGGTATGAAAGGTCAAATAAGAAATTGTTATAATTCAAACACAGATGCCTAGGTGACCCTGAATGGAAGTGAATATATCCATCTACCATCTGTACTGAGCAATACTCTAACAGATAATGTGTTCAGGGTACCATGAGCATGTCTCCTCTTGTTACTTCTCTACTTAAAAGAAAATTTAAGTTCACCTTTGGTGTAGGTCTAATCTACACATCAGCAACAGCAGTGTAGCTGACCATTTTTACATTCTTTATGTTCTTTGTCTTATATTTTCCAACATTTATCCTAGTAGTCAAATTTAACCTTTAAATGAATGCCCCCTCAAGAAAGTAAGGAATCTTTTAAAAAGATAAAACAAGAAATGCGTCAAAATGTTATGGCCCATTTTAAAATACACAGTGTGCTACTAAAATTTATTTTGCATTATTAATCTTCATCTTATTTAGTTCCATGTGTCATTTGAAAATATATTAAACTATTTCTCAGTTACCTTCTTAATCCTGATGAAGGTAATAGGTATATTTACCCATCATCCATTCTTGGTAAAAAGAATGGAGTAAAAGGAAAACTACTAAACTTGAAGACACAAATTTTCAGTCATCTAAGGTTAACTAATTTCTATAAAATACTTGAAACTTCGGAGAGTTTTAGTTTTTAATGGCTTACAGTTAATGTTTTTGTCATTAATGATGCTGAAAATTAGTAAGCTTCTATTGTGGCCCACTCCAAAAGCATATGCCTTTATTAAGAATCAATAAATAGTTTGAATTACAAAGTCAAAGCATATCAAAGCAAAGATACAAATACTGTTTCAAATTAATGTAATTTTGGTCTAGAGTTTATATGATTACATATGAAAATAAAACTACATAGAAAACCTCACTAAGTACCATAAGAACTCTGTGGTATAATACTAATACCTAGGAGATTTTTAATACTAATTAAATCTTTACCATGTAACAGATTTTCAATCAATTAATCATTTGCTACTATTTAAAAAATCAATTCCAACAATTCAAACTTAAGGGCAATCAGTCTCCACCTTTATAGTTTACCAGCTGCTTGTTAATTGTATCTTGAGAAGATGGGACATATGAAAGCCATCAACAGAGATGTTTGAGACTATCAAGACTAAAATGTTAATTTACTTAACCAGCCATCCAGGAGACTACTGATGAAAAAAATCAATGTTTAAAATACAGATACTAAGTATCTTGGACAGAAAAAAAAAAAAAAAACTTAAAAGTATGAGTATTCTCTGAAAGTGTTATAAGACACATCTACTCCAGTGCCTCAGTTCTGAAGGTAAAGTTTTTGTAAATGAATTCAAGTCTGTAAAATTTTATTTCAGTCACTTTTAAAATGTTATAAATTAGAACTTACAATAGAAAAATAAATTCTAGTAAGAGCTTTTAAGTTAAAACCACATGTTATGTACAGAGATAGTGATTGTTCAAGGTATTTCTACATTAAAAGCTTTCAATCTCAGGTTCATTTTTCAAAACAATGATACGCGATATTTATTTTCCTTTACCAGCAGGACTTTGATTATGTAAGTAACTTAAAAACAAAATAAATGGGCTTGAAAAACTTAACACAAATGTTCTGGATAAAGTGTAGTGCAATAAGCATATAGTATTAGCTATGATGGATAGCAATTGCACTAGAAATTAAAATTAATTTCAACAGTACAATATTATAAACCAGCTTTAAAACTGTACACTAAATTGTATTTCGTTTCTTTAACATAGTAAATAGAATGTTCAGAAAAAAAGAATCTAGTATTTCTAATATTTAAAAACTTACTTGATTTTAGCAATGCAGCAAGAGTGTCTAAAGCAACCCTGTCAACACAACAAGAAAACACAAACAACAACAAAACTAGTAAAATTAATCTACAATCGTAAATTCATACAATCTTGTCAGTTAAGTATTATTCTATTATCTATCCCAAGATTTACTGTTATTAAAGCATCAATTACATATGGTATTTCTCTATAGGCATTTCTTTTAATTTAAAATCAGAAAGAAAATTGGTGCAGTGTAAAAAAGGTTTAGACAGAAAAGAAAATTAACATTGTCTAATAAGTCTTTATGTCAGAATTTAAATGAATGCTATCAATTATTGGGATTTGACCCTGAAAGAGATCACAAAGGAACCACACTATTAAGAATGAAAGGCCCTGAGTGTCAAAGGAATTAAATACAAGACATTTAATTTCATAACTACAAAATTCCATGAATATTTTAACTTTCTGGCATTGCAGTATTTCTGTTCTATCAAGCTACAATCCTTATACATAATGCGATACCTACTATAAAACATTGGAACTTGCAAGATTGGGGATAAGAAGAAAGAGCCCTTAACGTCTTTTAGCTACAAAACACCAAACAGGACAAATAACAAGCATAACTATTGCCTACAAAAACTCTTACTGCCCCAAAAAAGGACAAAGGAAGAGCCCTACAGACTGAAGATATGGATATCTGTTTGAACATAAACACTCAGTTACATAAAGGAAAATTCGCTGCCATTAATAAGTTACACAAGTGTACATAATACCACTATGGAAAACAAATAATTAGAGGAGTTTCTTAAAAATGAATTACTACAAAAATTAGCATTTTTTCAGTAACTTTCAAAATATAAAGCTATATATGCTAGTACCTCTTAAAAGACATCAATAACCATAAACAATTTATATTAAAATATGTAAATTATCTAACTTAAGTAAGCATTTCACTCACCATCAAGCATTTGTTGAATGCCTACTAGATACTCAAGTAGCAGTTTCTTCATGGATATAAAATCAGAAAACATATTTTCTTCCACATATAAATTTATACAGTGTATGAAAAATATTCTCAAGAAATTAAAACCAAAAACAAGGCAATAAAGTAGAAGCTGACACACTAATGGTAGATGAGAGGTAGCACAAATAGATGTAGGAAAAAGTAAAAAGAATACAGATTAAAAGGTCCAAGAGGGATGTTGGTTCATGGTAAAACCTGAAATAGTAATCCACAAATAGGTCAAAGTAAGTGTTCAATAAATGCCCAGTAAGAAAAGTTCTTATTAATTACTCTTCAGCTTGACACAAATAAAGCAAACACATAAACCTTTACTTATAATAATATTCATAAAATAAAAACAAAGCATGCCCATTTAAAAATATTACAGAAGTATGCCTATAGCTTTTTAAAAACAATGTAAAATGCTGGCAGAGGTGAGTTAAAAGTAATTAAAGATTATAGAACTATGTACTGAATTTTCATTATGTGAATGAAATCAAGAATAAACGTCACACTTTTATAGCCATGTGATAAAAAATACAAGATTGTAAACTTATCAGAATTAGGATGGATAAGGATGTCTGTAAAATCACTCAAAATTTAAACAGAACTAAATGGATCTTCCAAATGAAACCACTATAGAAATCAAGAGGACTACAAGGGTATGCCTCAGCAAGACTGACAATGGACAGGCACCATTCTAGCTGCTCTATATACATGCTTTCTACTTTAATTCTCTAGACAATTCTGGTTTATACAATGACCCAGTTTCTGCATATGGAAATTTGATAATACCCCTACAGTTGCATAATAATTTAATGATACAGAAAATAAATGGGGCCGGGGAGATGGCTCAGTGGAATAAGCCCCTCCCTGGCAAGCGCAAGGGCCTGAGTCCAATCCCTGGTTTGCCAAAAAAAAAAAAAAAGAAAAGAAAAGAAATAAGCAACTTTTTTTCATTTATGTATTTGATACAGGATCTCACTGCACAGCTCGGACGTATAGTGATCCTCCTGTTTTCAGCCTCCCCAGTGCTGGGATTACAGACATGGGCCACCATGCCCGGACTCCTTCACTGGAGGCAGGGCTAGTACAGCATATGGGACAGGGGATCAAATCCTAGTCCCTGCGCTTGGCCAAGCAGGCACTTAGTCCGCTGAGCTATCTTGCTGGCCCTAAATAAGCACCGTACTGAGAAAGGAAATTATAAAATCAAAGACATCTCCCTTCAAGAAGACTGGACTCTGCATGCCACAGGCCCCACCTCACCTGCTACACAGCCAACAGTCCTCACTGTTGGCTGTCTCCTTGGTGCTCCTGGAGGGCCCAAGAGCAGGGAGGCAAGCTGCTTGCACCATGGCAGAGGCCACAAGCATCACTCTCAGGTGCTGACTATTCACCCTGAATAAAAGGCAGCTGTTGGAAGACTTCTCCAGTAGTTGAGCACAAAGCCAGGTTGTCAACCAGGAATCTCCTATAGGTCTGCAGCTACTGTGGGTCTTGTTCCTGCCTCTTATTGGGTTTTGACATTATCACAGTAATTTGCAAATCAAAAACATCTCCCTCTGGAAGATACGACAACTGCTTCTTCCATACGGAGAAAGAAATGCTACTCTAGGGAATCCATAGAGGAACTGATTCATCACACATAGGAGTCCAAGGTGCCTGCTTCCTAGAAAAGTTTCCCATCTGACGTGCAAGAAACAGAATGACACACTGACCCTTCAAGGAGAAGTCTCAGGGTGGGTCAGTGTTATCTCACTGTTGAAAACAAGGACACAACGTGCAGCCCTTTTTCTACACAGGAGAAGTACAAGATTAGTCAAGAGGAAGATTGTATGGGCTTGCAACCTCAAAGGTTTGCACCTTGATGACCCATGGAATGTTCACAACTCAGGATTTAATATTTTTCTATGTTAAAGAATTACGAATTCACATGAAAGAAACATGTCACTTTACAGTTAATAATAACAATAAGGAACACTAAACAAGGAAAATTTCATGCTGACCTTAAACTTAAGTAGAACAAACTTGAAACAGATTGTCAATACAGCCAGATAAGACACTATAAAGTAGTGATCCTGACAGGTGCATGAACACAATGAGCAGCGGGAAGAAATTTTCTATAAATCATGATATCAAAGAAGAAAATTTATCTATAGTTTCCTCATGTATAAGAAATTTTTCTAAGTAGATCTTTTTAGGCATCAGAAAATAACACAGGTAAGAAACTGTGAGAGTTTCTTTCTTACATCAGAACTTCATCTTGCCAATAAATGTGACAATTTAGATATGATTATAAATCTATATGCATAGAAGGTTGGAGCATATAATTTTATAAAGCAAACACTACTAAACCTAAAGGGAGAGACAGGCCCAATGCAATAATCATGAGGTACTTCAATACCCCAATTTCCAACATCATTCCAAAAGGTCATTATCATCACTAGAGGCAAAAACACTGAAAGCATTTCTTCTAAGCTTAAGTCAAGATAACAATGCACTCTTACTGCTTTTCATTAATATAGTACTAGAGCTCTTATTCAGAGAAATTAAGCAAGAGAAAGGAAAATGAAGACACAGGAACAGGAAAGGAAAAAAAAAACAAAAAACCAAGTCATCTTTTGCTCACAAGAGCTAAGAAATAGAATCACCCTTAGTGTTTGTCAACAGAAAAATGGATAAAGAAAATAAATATATACACAATGGAGTACAATTAAGCCATGAAGAATGAAATACTGTTATTCTTAGGAAAGTGTGTAGAAATGGAGAACATCATGTTAATCAAAATAAACCAAACACAGAAAGACAAGTATCATGTTTTCTCTCATATGTACAAACTTTTAAAAAAATAATAACCTAAAAATAGGTGAGAGGCTATTAGGGATTAGGAAGAGAAGTCAGGGGACAGAGAGAAAGGAAGGTGAGGAAAAAAAGACAGAAGGGAGGTATATGAACATAATAAGGGTGCAATGTACCCGTATATGGAAATATCATGTGAATCCCATTCATTCATTTGTACAATTAATATTTAATTATAATCGCAAAAAGAGAAGGCAACCAGAACTTGTACTTTCAGACAAGATAAAATGACAGGAACTAGACCTACCTTCTCATCTGAGAAATAACTTTTCTCAAAATAAACAAAATGGAAGAACTGACCAAACAATGGAAGAAAGACATCCACAAGAAACAGAAACAAGCAAGGTAGTATTCCAGTTGTCCCAATTCACCATACATTAAGAAAGCTGCAGTAGAAAATTCTAAAATTAAAGCTTCACAACTGGGCCATCAGACTCAGCTGGCCTTGACTAACTACACAGCTGCAACTCAAGAGATAATTTAACTTAGTGCTTCTAACCAGCTGCACAATGACCTGCACATACATCCTGTTTTGCTAGCCTGTTTGAGGAACTATCTGGGCAGGACAGTCCTGTGAAGGGCACGTTACATCTTACTTATGTAGTAGACCCTAACTCCCCCAGACCTTTCGGCCTCATTATCCCCAATTAAACCTTCTGGCCATTTCTGCTTGACAACTTGTGACCAAATATCCACATATATGTAACCAATTATAGACAAACCCATTATTGACTCTGTACTTCCTACTTAGAAATGTATATAAATTGCTGTTTTACTCTAAGCAGTTGTAGTTGCTGATACATTGTGTCAACTTGGGAAGTGAAAGGCTTGGCTGAATGGCTCTACCTGGGGCCTGGGGGCCCCTCCCTCAGGTGTGGAGGGCCCATCCTAGGGCACAGAGGGCCCACCATAGAGTGACTCTGCACTTAGGGAATAAGGGTGATTGAGGAAGGATCGTTTGCACCACTCCCTCAGAGGAGCTCAAGTTCACAGTCAGTGTGGAAGGGAGGAAGGGAGAGAGGCTCACTAGAAGCTGCAGCTGCATCTCCTACCTTTGCTTGGCTGTTTTCGCCACTATGAACTGCTGCCCTCTGCACTGTACTTACTCTGCCTTGGAGCCAGCTGAGTTTGGACTGAAATATGAACTGAAACCTCCACTAACTGTGAGCTGAATAAGTCGTTCCTTCCT